GTAAAGTGGAAGCCGACGAAGAATGCGACGAAGGAATACTCGTTAAGGGAGACGAATACGTGACCGGTCTTTGTTGTGACAGTAAATGCAAACTAATAGCGGGCTCTTACTGTAGTGACAAGAACTCTGACTGTTGTGCCTCTTGTAAGATAAGACCGGCCGGTATTGTATGCAAACATAAGGACGAACTCAATTGCAAACAGGAGTCCCACTGTGACGGAGAGTCCGAGTGAGTTGTTTGACACACATTTAGCCATTATCGCAGACAATAAACATAGTATACACCTGTCTATCCCTCATAGCAAATGTCCCGAACCGACACCACTGGCCAACGAGACGCCGTGTCTGGATAGGGGTCAGTGCAGAGCTGGCAAATGCATCACATATTGCGAGGCAATCGGAATGATGCCGTGTCTGTGCGAGGACTCGAGGGACGCCTGTGTCCGGTGCTGTCGGTCAAACACCACACTCTACCACGCGTGTCGTCCCGTCACCCCCAGAGATCCGCTGCCCAACGGAACGCCCTGTAAGTTCGGGTTCTGCGAAAACCAGAGGTGCGAAAAGAATATACAGGACTTTGTCGAACGATTCTGGGATGTGATCGAAGAGATTAACATCAATACGTTCTGTAAGTGTTTGAATGGCATCCAATTCCCATTTGGCGAAGAATAGCTCGTTTTTGATCATATTCTTCGATATATCGTCCGGAAGTGAAATCAGATTACGAACAATGGCTCGAAAGCCGTTCACAAAGTCGTTGTCTTTATTCCAAATAAGAAGTCCGCCTCTGAATGGCGTCACCAATAGATTGGATTTCGTGCCGCGTTTCGAGTCGAAGAAGAATAAGTTTGTCTTTGAGGGGATATAAACCAAGAGATGATAGCTTTGCTTATTGTTGTGTTCGACGACTCGGGACTCAATCGTATTCATAAGAATCGGTACATTAGAGACGTCGAAGAGTCGGTCGGTGTTTGCGATCGTTTGTTGGCTTTCGTTGTTTTTCAATAAATTACTGGAAATAAAGTGATTTCTGAAGACATAATGCAATGTCTGTGAGTTTAGATTAAAGCGAATCAGTTCTGAAGCGCCGCTCTCTTTGATGAGCGCGATGTCTCCCAAGCGATGGATTTCATCGACACGTTTGGCCAACAGTTGGTTCGCCTCTTCGTCTTCGTTGACTACATTCACGATTAAATCGATTTCCGGATTCAATAGGAAATCAATTCGTTGCGAATTATATGACTTATCGGACAAGACTTGAGTCGATTCCACCAATTCGTACACCATTTCGGCCAACGATTTATCGCCGAATGACTTCTCGTCGTTTCGGACGTAAAAGAAACGATTCCTTCCGAAGACATGGCTTTTACCGTTCGGTATAAGTGTTGTGTCCGACGGCAACACAAAGACCCATAACTTTCCTTTGGTTTCGTGTCCGTCGACGGCAGTCAAGTCGGTGTCGATCTCTAGAAGTGCTTTATTGGGATCACCGGTGAAGATGAGCTCCTCTTTGGCCAGAAGTGGCCGCACTTTCCAGTCGTAAATATAGGCGAGACTGCCGTCAGAGCTGAACCGTTGCGGCCAATTGTGGACCAGTTGTGAGCGAAGAGAGTCGCGATCGATGGCTCCGTCGACGGCGACCACACAAACGGCAAACTTATGTCTAATGGTCTGAGAGCTGACTAACAGTGCGCTGATGTCCGGCAGTGAGTGTCTGGAGGGGGAAGTGGTTGTCCACCAGAGCGGGAGTCCGACCATCAGAATGACAGAGATGTACAGAACCGAAGACACCATTCCGTACCAATTGGTCTCACTTTGCCGGTCATTGTCTGTTTCGGTCATCGCTTATAATCACAACACAAACGATACACAAAAACTCGACTCGACTTTCAATTTAAACAACAAAACCAAACATTAAATGAAATGCAAAATCAAGTGAACAATCAATGCATCGCTTTTTCTATACAAAAAACAACACATTTTCTGCACTGAAAGTCAATGCATAACAATTGGCGCTCAGTTTGAATACACTATACTATCGGACCATTTGGTTAGTGTACGGCTATTCGTGCCATTCATTCATCGCTAATGTCATTGAATTGATGATAAATTGTGACTAATATTCGCTAATTATGTTCACTATAACGAGAGCTACACTAATGTAAAAGTTTGGGACAATTTAAAAAAGTTTTACAAAGAGTGTGTTTTATAGGGCGTGGGCAATACAATCGCACCAAGGTAATATAATTGAAATATTAGTTAATGTATTAGTGAATTATTAATGAGTTATTGGCTTTAATATGGTAGACATGCTGTGTATGAATTGATTGATTACATAAAAGCATTTCCAAAACTCAATTAACATAATATGATGTAAAGTATTGGACAAAATATACCAGCGATGAGATCATACCTGAGAGCTTACCTGTAGTTACGCTATCAGTATTACCAGACATACCGTACAGTAAAGCCGGGCTTTAAACACAATGTATGCACACAAATAACGTGAGGCCTAAACGACACCCCCAGCCATACAATCGCCTATAAAATTGTCGACACATTAAATGCCGTAATTTTGTGCCAAAAGTTTTGACACAACAAATATTTCTCACATTTTTCAATAGACAGCGATTGAAATGTTTTGAAAACATTAAACGAGACATTAATCTGTCGTTTAAATTGAAGTCTAATTATATAATGAATGCAATTCTCGACACACGTTTTTGTGTGCCTTTTAATCGCTTATAATTGTTAAGTGTTTTTCTAATTACTGTTACATTAGTTATATATTTAACTCCTATTTATTAGTATTTGTTTTGTTGTTTGTGTTGTTATAACGTTGTGTTCAATGAAAATATACAATGCATTGCATATTTGCCTATAAATACTGATCTCAACATTTGTTCACTATTTTTAAAGCCAATTGTGAAATGAATTAAAGCCTTAATTGAAGTAATGATTAGTTGATTGTATGGTTAGATTCAAAAGCAATCATGAATTGTAAGAATTCACTCGTTTTACTAGTGTTTGTCACACTATTTCTGGCCATAAGAGGTATGCATTCATTCAATCGTTTACATAACGTATCACTACTTTAATTGTCACTTAAATTAACTGTAATTAACTATTAATATGTTTAATATTGGGCTCTAAAGGGTGGGTGGGGTTTGACAATAACGTGAATCAGCTATGTCAATATTTGAAAGTATATGCCCACGTTTGTTAAACCCGTTTAGATTAGATTAGATAGTGAAATAGTAAATTGTCCTATATCAAATTGATATTACCAATTGACCACACAATCAGTTCACATACTATAACACACTATAGTGTTATGCGGCGATTGATGTGACACTTATTGCCATTCATATCATTAAATTGATTATTGTTTTTAATTGACAAAAGTTTTGATAACTGATGCCATTATGCGGTGCTTTTAGCCCCGACTGGGGTCTGAGCCATAGATCCCCTCATTATTTGCCTCATTATATGATTGGATGTGTTTTCAGGCGAAAAGAAGACAATTAATCAGTTAAGAGATTACGAGATTGTGGAGAGAAATGCTGTGAAACGCCATACAATTGCCCGAAGAAGTGCCGAAAGTGGGAACAATCGCAACGAATCCGTCGAACATTTGGTCACATTTCGTGCCATTAATAAAGATTTTAATTTATTATTATCTCATAATAAAGACATAATAACTAGCGATGACTTCAACGCCTTCGCTGTGGACTCGAATGGTCGCAAAGAACCCATTGTTGTCGACTCTAATGAGTTCTATTTGGGACGAGTCGATGGAATTAAGGGCTCGTCTGTGAGGGCGCACATCGGGTCCGACGGAGTGATGATGGCCTCCATTCAGACCGGCGACGAGACTTACGAAGTGGAACCCATTTGGAGACATTTGGCAGACCATCCAAACAGAGACTCAATGATAATCTACAAGCGCTCAGACGTGTTAACACATTCCTCCACTGTATCGACAGCTGACCAGAAGTCGAGACAATTCTGTGATTTCATTAAATTTGGTGATAACGTCACCAATGAATACATCGAAGCCGAAGAGCGAATTCGCCGAAAACGGGACACACTTTACGACTTCAGCCAAATGGCCGTTTCGGACGAAATCAACGCACAATTCAGGCCAACGCAGACCCATTGCGCCATCGTTTTGGTCGCCGACCACTACTTCTTCGAGTCGATGGGCGACGGGAACCAAAAGACGACAATTAATTATTTGATTCACATTATCGATAGAGTGAACAATATATTCAATAACACGGAGTGGACGGACGACGAGCGGCGGCCGGGCTTTAAGGGAATGGGCTTTTTCATCAAAGAGATTCAAATACACACCGAACCCACCCTTGATATCGATCACTACAACTCACTGTATTCGCGCCGTTCGGTGCGCGAAGTGTTGGAAGCGTTTTCGCTCAACAAAGACAACAGTCAGTTCTGTTTGGCCCATCTCTTCACTCACCGTTCGTTCGACGGCTCAGTTCTGGGTCTGGCATACGTGGCCTCACCGCGCATGAGCTCAGTCGGCGGCATTTGTAGCCCGAGTTATTACGGCTCGACGTCCAGCAACACTGCCGGCAGAAACCTATACCTCAACACTGGTCTCACGACAACCCGAAACTCTTTTGGCCAAAGAATTATTACCAGAGAAGCAGTATTAGTGACGGCCCACGAGTTCGGTCACAATTGGGGCTCAGAACACGATCCTCACACCGAAGAGTGTTCACCGCCCGCACAGA